TCTAAGCTTGAGGCCAGTCATGGCAGGAACCTGATTTAAATGTTCCGAGTTGTATTGCTTCTTTGCTGTGGCTCTCTATATAATCTGGAGCATATTTGAACATACATTTTCCTCTCCTACTGTCTAGTTCAACACCATCAGACAGGAAATCATATTGATGGAATGGGTATTCCCTGTGCATTGGAGGGGATGCATGGAAATTCTGATCAAAAGATCCCATAGTTATGCAATGCCTTAACCATTAGGGTTTTTGAAAACATATCCTTTCTCTTTGCTAATCCCATTCAACCTTATATTGTTCTTTGTAGATGACTGATAACCATACAGGTGATATGATGTTTTCAGAGAAATCTTTGACCTCTATTGAGCAAAAAGAGGTTTATCCAAAGGAGGAGGTCAGTATGCAAAATATGAGCATATTTGCTTACCTTTTCCTGTCAGATTTAGGCTGTGTACTGTACATGTTTCTGTGTATGAGAGAGGAAAAGAATGTGTTGAAGAGACAGGTGGGGATATATTGGTGGTAAGTAATATGTAGCCCTGGAGTCCTCTCTCTGTGATCTTTGGAGTCCCTTCTGACTATAACCGCTGAAAACAGACACCTTTTTTGTTATTCTAAAGTGAAAAATCCATAAAAAGTGTGGTGTAAATCTTGAAATTGGCATATTTAATTAGAAAAAAAACCCTCTCAAACCTTCATCCAACCCCTTTCCCTGCCATGAGTTATGTAATTTTGCTACTTTTTCATGTAATTTTTCATCTGCCTTCTTGCCCCTAAAGTATAGACATGACCACCTAAAGATCGGATACTTTACTGCAAGATTCTAAAATGGGTGGTGCAAGCAAGTGTGCCAGTCATGACTTTTTATCATGACTGATAAGACTTTTTATCTTTTCTAAATGACCATATTGAATTCCTCATAGTGCCTGCCTGCAAGCTTTAACAAATATGATTGGGAAATTAATGTTATATTGTGAGCTATATCTATTTTTTGCATATTAAGGTTAATGGATTTTTTGGGGGGAGGGGGTGTTTTTATGTAACAATAGCAAACAGGAGCATTCTTTCTCTTCTATAATTTGTCAACTGATTATTACCCTCTAATGGACTCTGCTCTAAAGAACTTGAGGCAAGGCAGTGAAAAAAAAAACTGCCAGAACAATGAAGTGGGCATTGTGATGTCATAATCAAGTTTCACCATTTAATACTTGTGCTTCTGTTGCATGCAAGGATGCCAGGGCCATAACTTACATGTTTATCACTTGTCCACCTTGTCTATTATGGGAATCAAAGAAATTAGTACAGTGCTGTCATTTTTAATATCTCAACTACCTCTTTTAATGAAATACAAAAATTTCATTAAAATTGAAGCAGAATCCAAACTTGTTAGATATGAGATAAAAAAGGTATAGGAAACTTGACTGATTATTCCTGATTTGTTCTAGGATTTTGTTAGTCTTCCCTCACTAGGATCCTGACAGCAAGCTACTATATCATTTCCCAATGTGAGAAAATTTGGATTTTTATTCACAGGTCTGACAGCAGGCAATTCAATACCTTTTAAAAACATTTAAGCAAGGACCAAAGGCAATAATTTCTTTGTTCTCTGACCCTTTCCCAGAATTAGATACTAAAGCACAGTTTACTGAAGATGATTTATTCAATGATTAAAGTTAACAGCATTTGTAAAACCTATAACCATCTGTCCAACCCATTTTCATAACCAGAACTCATGAGTCCCTTCCTTTTACTAATCTTTGATTAGACTCGTATTTCCCTATCTTAGAGTTTAGGATCAAAGAATTTGGATTCCAAAATAACCCCCCCTCTTAACATACATTCTCTGATCATATAGGTTTAACAAATTCACTCAAACCTTCAGGGCTACCCTTCTCTAGGATCTTACAGAGGAGTTGGAGTATATATTCTGGCACTTCTGGGCAACGTAATTATTGTGTATCCTTATAGAGGAACAAAATTTTTTGGTGGAATATAGGGTGAGGATGATTAGAAATGTAGACCGCTCAGAAGACAACAATAATACTCCTCTTCCCCATTTTTATTGCTTTTTATCTCCATCTTTCTAGGACAATAAATCAATGTCTAATGAAGAAGAAAACAGTGCTGAGCCAGAGAGAACAACTGCTGGGCTTAAGATCTTCAAGCTAGGTTTTCCTCAGCTTCGGCCAAAGCTAACTTTTTTTATTTTTCGCTTGCCCCAGCATCAGAGTCAGCAGATGCCTGAAGCGAAACTGGTAAAAGAAGAGCCAATCAGTGATAAGAGGCACAGATTGCTGGCCATTCGGAATGGGCTTTTAGCAGCCCCCCATCCAATTAAGAAGGACCTGCCTGTGACCCCAAACCACAAAGTCACTCCACGAAAGCGTCATTTCTTTTTCTTCTGGAGGAAAATATAAGGCATTAAAAACATATGAGGCATTGGGAAAACATAATACCTAGGCAAGTGAAAAATGTTCTAGCTTCCCAAATATTTCTATTGTCACATCAAAAGTTTAAAATGAGGTTGGCCCTACAAAAGGGGGAAATGTTTCCTTCAAAAATTCAAAATAAAAGTTACCCTTTTGAAAAAGCTCTTCATGAAATAATTATTTTTTTCCTGGAATATTATGATGGTGATGATGATGTTATCCATTCAGTTGTGTCTACCTCTTGGGCAATTCTATTGGCCAGATTTTTCCAATCTTGCACTATTTGAGTTCTTCCATGCTCTGGCAGGCATCAACTTTGATGGTGTCAGGCCACTGTATTCTTTGACGATCTGGTTTCCTTTTATCACTAACTCTTCCAAACGTCATGATGGTAGCTGCATGAATCTCTGGGAGTACATTGTATTCGAAATGGTAGGTACTGCAAACAAGTAGACACACTACTTAGGTTCCATAAGATGACACTGTTTGATGGATAGAATCTGAAACACACCTACAGTATCCTCCTCAATCACATCAAACAGACCATAGAAATATATGATCCCTTAGATAGCCAGGCCCCGTGCCATACAGTTCTTTAAAATTGATAATCAGCAACTTTAACTGCACCTAGAAACCATCTGGTAACCAGAGCAGATTGTGAAGCAGTACAGGTAGGGTCACAGATTCATGTGCTGCTCCTATCATTACTTGCGCTGTTGCATTCTAGACCAGTTGTAGCTTCTGGATGGTCTTCAAGAGCAGCTCCATTGCTGTAAAACAATTGTGAAGTGGCCAGGGCATGACTGACTGAATAGCCTTCCAACTCAGAAAAAGGTGCAAATGTATCTGTGCAAACCCTCTTGGTCACAAGTGCCACCTGCTCTTTGAATAGGAATTGAGAGTCCAAAAGATTCGAGAACCTATGGAACACAATCATATGGAAAAGTACCACTCTATTGAGAGTTAAAAACAGAATTGTATTCCTAGAAGTGGTGTGTATGGGGGGATGTACATAGTCTTTTCAATACTGAGTCTGTTCCTCCCATCCAGACCCACATAATCTCCATATACTGGGCTAGGACTTCAACAACATACTTAGCTAGGACTTCAACAACATTGCCTACATGGCATAGGATTAAAATTTAGGACTGGATATAATCATCTTACTGATGATATTGGAACTCAAAAATGGATGACCTCATCTGAAAATTTCTTGTAGATGTTAAACAAAAGGTGAAAAAAGCATTGCATTCTGCAGTACTGCTGAAGGGGCGGGCTGCAGGCTCTGTCTCTCTGCCCACCAACACTGATTAGAACTGGCAACAAAGAACCACTGTAAAACTTCAACCCTCAAAGCCAATCCAATAGGATACCATGATCAATGGTACTGAAAGTCAGAGAGCACAAGGAGCACAAGATGAAATGCAGTACCTCTTCCTGTCACCATGGATTATCCACTAGCACGACCAATGCAGATACTTTTATTTTCCTTCACGTTTTGGTAGTTGAAATAGTTAAGTAGTACTATTACTACTTTAGGATATGAATTAAATATCATCTTGAAATAATACTCTATAATATTGCAGTGCAGAAAAGCATTAGGTGACAGCAAAATCTGCTAGTTGACACATTAACCCCATTTCTGGATCTAAAAAAGTTGTCAGAAAATCCTCATGATTCCTAGCAATAAAGGGAGTGCTGCCATTTACAAACCACAATTTTACTACAGTACTAGTACTATTTATTGCTGAAGGAAATAGCAACTATGACTTAGAGGTACATTCTTTCTACAATTCAAGTTTAATGTATAAAGTAACTGATAATCCATATTTTTATCCCACGATGTTGATCAACACAAGAGTGGAGGATGGCTATGATAAGAACAGGTCCTTAATATACAGGTAGTCCTCAACTTATGACAATTGAGCCCAAAATTTATGCTACTGAGTGAAACATTTGCTAAGTGAGTTTTGCCCCATTTTATGATTCTCGCCACATTTGTGAAGTGAATCACTGCAATTCTTAAATTAGTAACACGATTGTTAAATGAATTCGGTTTCCCCATTGACTTTGCTTGTCAGAAGGTTGCAAAAGGACATTTCATGACTCCAGGACACTGCAACCGTCATAAAGGTGAGTCGTCAAGCATCTGAATGTAAATCACGTGATTATGGGGATGCTGCAACTGTCATAAATGTGAAAAACAGTCATAAGTCACTTTTTTTCAGCGCCGTTGTAATTTTGAATGGCCACTAAATGAACTGTTGTTAAATTGAGGGCTAAGTGTATTGAAAAAAAGAGATGGCTAATCCCAATGAACCATTTTTTCAAACAAGTAGACCTTAAAATGGGGCATTATTTGCTCCTGGTTTATCCTATCACCAAGTGAACTATCGGTTCCCCGGGGCAAATTAGGGACTCGCATTTGCCAGGCGCTGAGGGAGCAGCACCTGCCATTAACTTCCCTTTGAGGTTTTCCCGCCTTCCCCCCCCCGCCCCCCACAAGCGCCTGGAAGAAGGCGCGCGCCCCAACCGCCAAGCCCCTCCTCCATCTTGGCTCGCGCCTTGGAAGAGGAATTGTGCTCCCCTTCTTCCTCCTCCCCCACCACTAATTTCCTTTGTTGTCTGAGGGAAGACGCTCCTTTCCGTCGCCATCGCTCTTTCTTTTCGCCAAGCGGAGGGACGGCCTTTCTCGGAAGCGCATCCAAGGCTGAGGTGGTCGCCGTGAACTCCTCCCTCTTGCTGTAGTAATCCTTCCACGCCGTGAGCAAAAACGCCTTCTAGGGCAGGGGCCTCCAACCTTGGCAACTTTAAGACTTGTGGACTTCAACTTTAAGACTTGAAGTCCACAAGTCTTAAAATTGCCAAGGTTGGAGACTCCTATTCTAGGGTGTAGCGTTTCAAGGACTGCGGTGCTCGCTAGCTTGGTAGCTGCAGGGTTTCCCTCTTCAGTCGATTTAACGCGTGCAGATTTGTAATAATGCTGCAAATTGGTTGTCGGACAAACCTATCTGCTTTCTTGACTGTTCCAAACCGAATTTTAATAGCATTGCCTAATCTACTAACTAGTACAACATGGGGTTCATAGCTATTAGCCCTTACAGTGCCTCGTGAGGTATAATCTCTGTTATAATACCATCCTCATAGATTTGAGGAGTGCTTTAAAATTCCTTCTGTCTTCCTTAATGAACATTATTCTAAAAGAATAATATTGCACGGTTGCTAATATACTACCATTTCCTTTAAAAAAGGGGGTCTCAAATGTCCTAGAATCTGCCATTTATAGTGGGATTGGATGAATTGATCGATCGATTATATGCCACCTATATAATCAAATTTTACCAATCACACGGGTTGGAAATTTCAAATCATTTGGCCAAATGAAATAATGTGTTCATATGGAGAGATTAATTTTTAACTTCATATTATGTATTTAAATAAATCTGAAGTGCCTAGTTTATGCTGGGAACAGTTTATTTCTTTCCTAATCTCTCTGTGTGTGATGAGAAATAAAGTAATATTTTCATTTCTTGACAGTGTGAAGTCTGGGAAATCTGTTCCAATTACATGAAAACATCACAGTGTCCTATGAAAAGGAGAAAAGTATTATTCCTGATTAGAGAGATTTATTACTACATAGTCTAAATCAGTGATGGTTAACCTTTTCCGGACTAAGTGCCCAAAGCGTGTGCATGCGTGCATGAATGCGTGCATGTCCACCCAACTCCCCCAAATGCAATGTATGTGAGGACCCTCCATGCACACTTTTCACATGTGCATGGACCCCCGCACGCGCCCCTCCCCATGCATGTGCGGACCCTGCACATGCCACGCCTCCGCTCATGCACAGCAGAGACCTGAAAACCAGCTGGCTGGTGGGAACCCTGCACGCATGCACGGTGGAGTTGAACTAGGGCAATGGCTCGTGTCCCCACAGAGAAGGTGTTGCGTGCCACCTCTGGCATGCGTGCCATAAATTCACCATCACGGGTCTAAATACTTCTCCAGTTCTAACAGTATAAGGCCTAAAACAAAGGCTTTTGTTGCACAAATGTAATATATATACTAACCAAGAATGTTCCAACCACTACCGAGAACAAAAGTAAATTCCAAAATATTAACTGATTTTGTAACATTCATATTTTAAATGTTTATCAGGTTTTTGCATAATGAGTAGATAGGAAGCTTTGATGCCCAATTTATAAATGACTTTTTTTTGTGGACATTCCATTAGATATTTTATTACAACCATAAAGGCTGTTATGTAATTAACTAAAGAGACTTCTTTTTTATAGATTGTAGAACTGTTATGATTTGTTTGTTGCAAGATGATAAATATGTCATCTTTTTCCTATGAAAAAATTCTACTGTAGGTCAAAGCCTTCAGCGAGGAAGTACTCATTAATGATGATGGACAATGCTTATCACAACACTCTTGAGAATACAACAGTTGTGCAATTAACTGCAGTTTTGTCAGCAGGTAGTAAGTATTAGCTATTCCTGAAATTGCTAATATAGCAGTTTATATTTACCATAGTGACTATCTGCTTTATGAACCATTATCCCTTCCTTTTTAACTCTATTAAAATTAATGTACTGTATATTTTAGTTTGTATTGGCATCCTAAGTATGACAAAGTTTCAAATACAACTGGCTGCTAATTTAATTTAAATGAGAAACATTCAGTAACATATCATTATGGCAATTGGATGAGATATGCATAGGCTGTATTTGGGTTATGGATATGCAATTTTTTAGAGGTCAGCGGGATTGGGTGTGTGTGAACATAGTCCTCTTGTCACTACATAGAGACATTAAGCTGATGCCCTGCTGTACGTTCCCCCACGGCTCTGCCTGTCTGTCCTATAGCACCTAGATAATTAAAGACTTGCATTTTTTCAGCTAAAATTTTATTTTGAATCGAAAGAATGTTTATTTTTAAAGCTATGGATTATTTAAATATAGGAGAATATCTAATTTATGTGTTACCAAAATTGCACAATTCCTGACAATTTGTAATTATAAAAATATAATGCACAAAATTAAATTAAACATTAAAATAAACCATAACAAATTTTAAAATGTGATGGCACCAATCCATGTTAGGGCATATCAATTTTTCAAAACCCTCTAGAACAACTCCATTTGACAGGGTTTTTTAAAGATAATGTGACCTCTAGAAAAAGACTATTCCACAAAATAGAGCCCTTAACAGAGAACTGCTTCACGTCTCTCCTAGATGTCATCTCTTGTAGTCTGGGAACCCACCCTCAACATATACAACCAGCAGAACAAATTGGACAGGAAGAGATGGTTTTGCAAATACTAGGAATCAACCATTTAGGATTTTAAATGGTAAAACCAACACTTTCAGTCTGGAAACCTATTAGAAACCAGTACATCACCCACAATATAGATGGTATGGTTATATGGTTACATTCTGCACCAATTCCAATTTTCAGGTAGTTCTCAAAGCACATTGTAGTAGTCTATTCTAGTGGTAATGAGGGCATGAATGAAAATATCATTGCCAAGTATTTTCACTCAGGGTCTCTGTGTATACTAGATGACACTAAATTAAGGCCTCCTTGATATCCTAGCAATGACTTGGAGTCCTGAAGTGTCACAGACCCGTTCTTTCAGGAAGAGTGCTATGCCATCCAGAGTAACTGCTGGAACAGACAGGAGCTGCCTTATTAGAGTTCAGTCTCACTTGTGTTTATCCTGTCTAGATCCTCACAGCTTCCATGTACTGAATCAAGATAGTCATGACATCTGTAAAGGTATTCTTGGAATCTCGAAACAGAAAGCAAAATATGGAAAATGAGGGATATTTCAACCTTAAGAAATCAGCAATGCCTCAATCTAGGAATTTATGGAGGTGGGATGGGGGACAAAGAACACACCTTAATGTACTTATTTCTACAATTGACAACTATGGGTTTTTTTAAAATTTAGTTTTCAAAATAAGGAAGTTACTCATTTCTTCCTGAAATTAAACTGATTTTGTATGAATCTTGTTTCTTTGGATATTGACATTGGGGATTGACAATATCTGGCTCAGCCCAGGGTACAATATATTACTGAGTCTAATCAGCATTCTGATGATATCAATCTTTGAACTAATGGGTGATTAAACAGAAGAGGTAAAAGGAAATCCTCTGTGGGATCATCAAGTGAGTGCCCAAGGGAATCACCCACTTAGGTAGGAGTGGAACTACAATAAAAAGTTCCTCCAGTTTTCAATCCTGGATATGATCAAATGATTATAATTTTTGACCATTGACCATATTATGATACATATGATCATAATGTGATCAGTGGTATTCAATGCAGCCTGGAGATCACAAAGGACCAGGAGCAGTTCGTTGACATGTGTTGAAGTTCAAGCAATTAAAGCCATTCCTGCCCCATGTCTATGTTTGAACTCTAAACTGAAAACATTTCATTGCCTCTAAAAGACTTTACAGCTGGAGTCAAAGCATCTTTGTAACACTTTCCCTAAAAAGAAGATGTTGGAAACAGTAATGATGTAGTAATTAGCAATGGTTCAGATACTTTTCTTTCTTTAGAGTAGATACAAGGATTTGACATATAGAGGCTATAGATATGTAACCATATATATGTATAGCTCGGAGCAAGTATCATTGAATTCAGTTTGATTTATTCCCAAAAGCAAGTTGTAAGATCCTAAGATTTCCTATATATGTTCCAAAAGAAAAAGTTAGCAGTCAATTTATACAACTAAAAGATATAGATTTCAGAATCAGTTATACATATGAAAAAGTTCAGAATCACTGACCTTAGAGAATCAGTTAAGATTTTTCTTCTTTGATTTTTTTTTAAAAGAGAAGAAAGGTCAAGAATAGACTGAGCAAATCTTAAGAAAAACATCCAATTTTTTATTAAATGTAACTTCTTAATTCCTTAGCAATGACACGGGACAGCATTGGTATCAGCAATAAGAATATCATTTTGAATGCAGGCCAGTACTCAGAAGAACATGTTCTAAAATGCACATTCAGAGCATGTGACCCACAAGAAACAGGTAAAAAACATTTTAATATCATTTGGAAGCACTTAGCATTTAATCAAAGAATTGCTCTTTATTTTGCTAAGAGTTTTTGAGAATATAATATTATTTTACCAATATACTCCAACAGAAAATCTCAGTTAATGGAGTTTGATTTAATGGTAGTCCTTGCTTAACAAGTGGCCTTCTTAGCAATTGTGTGAAGTTACGATGACACTGAAAAAGTAATTTTACCACTGGCCTTCACATTTAGCATCCCCATGGATACATGATCATCATTTATGTGCTTCACAGCCAGCTGGCAGTGAAATCTCAAGTCACGGTCATGTGACATCTCACTTAATGATCATGTTGCTTAGTGACAGATTATCAGTCTCAATTGTTAAGGGACAGAAAGTCCCAGTTCTTAAGTAAAGACTACCTGTATTTTTTAGTCTTAGATCTTGCTAGCCATTATCCAAGTATATCTTCATTCTATGAGGAATATAAGCTTGAAAAAACAAATGAAACCTAAAATGATGAAGAAACTAACATATAATTTTTCATGCTTGTGTAATATAGAAGCATATACAACAGTCCAGGCTTGCAATGACTTTGTTTATATACAGGTTCTCCTCATTCCAACTAGTGAATTCTGTAGTAAAATATTTTTGTAAGAGGGTAGGTAAAGGGCATTCAAGGACTTAAATCATTTTGTCACTAGACTTAAAGCATTTTTATATCACCACTCAGCAGTTGCTGAAGTGATGTAGGGTCTTTCTGATAGCTCAGTAAAAATGTTATCCACCAGTCCTTGAGCTGACAGAAAAGTATGCTAACATAAATATCCCATTGCAATCCTTATTCTGCCACAGTAAGAAGGTTTGTGAATGGGTCATCTTTATTTATTGTGAGTCAAGTTTAGTCTTTATTTATTGTGAGTCAAGACTCCCAGAGGGAGGGCCTTCTCTGTGAGGGCTCCAACCCTTTGGAATGAACTGCCACCTGAGATACGAAATATCCCTGATCTCCGTGCTTTCTGCCATGCCCTCAAGATCCTGATGTTCCAACAGGCGGGGCTAAACATGAACATGTGAATGATTTTAAAATGTTATCTAATTTTAGGTTCTATTTAATTGGGCCAAACTATGTTATAATAATAATTTTAATTAGCAATTTTATGATGTTTGTGTATCTATATTTTTTCTTGACTGTACACCGCCTTGAGTCCTACGGGAGAAAGGCGGTATAGAAATATAATTAATTAATTAATTAATTAATTAATTGGATTTTCTGGTTTCATTTTCATTCCCATCAAATTTTTACCTGCTAGCAGAAGAAATATTTACCAGTCACTTTTCTTATGTGTGATGAGGAGAGTTTAAAAGGGTACTTAGAATCCTCTCTCTAGTCCTTTTGCCATCCCTCTTCTGCACCTGTGACCTGTCACATTATTTCTTAACAAGTTTTAGTGTTATTCTGAAAGACTGCTAAGCCTGGGTTCAAAAATAGCCCAGTTGAGAGGTAAAATACAGAAGAGGGATGCAGAGTGAAGAGGGAAGGAGTGATGATAACAAGCAAACCCAGTCTTCAACTAATGCTACAAGGGAATAGTCAGGCCTGCAAAAGGGACTAAGCTTAGGAGTCAATTCTGAATTTATCTGTTGCCAGTTGCACCCACCCAATAACTGGATTAACCTGCATGTACTAATCACACTCAATACCATAGCACCAAAAGACTTAGTAGTTAAAAATAATTAAATTGGAAAAAATATGGCCACCACACAAAACTTCAGTACCTAAAAAAACCATTGGAGTCCTGGGCTGCATCAACAGAAGGATAGCCTCAAAATAATGATAAGTGATAATACTGCTTTATTCCACACTAATGAGGCTGCACTTGGAATATTGTGTACAGTTCTGCTCACTATGATATAAAAAAAGATGCTGGGACCCTAGAAAACGTGCAGAGAAAAGCAACAAAGATGATGAAGGGTCTGGAAGCTAAATTGTATGATGAACAGTTGAGGGAGCCCAGTATGTCTAGGCCAGTGTTGGCAAACCTGTAGCACGCATGCCAGAGGTGGCACTCCGAGCCCTCTCTGTGGGCACTTGCACCATCACCCCAGTCCAGTTCCATCGCGTTTCTCCAACCGACCGACTGACTGTAGGGGAGACTGCGGGGTTAGTATGGCCAGGCAAATTACACACACACACACACACACACACACACACACACACACACACACACACTATCAAAGTGGATCCTGGGGGCTGTACTGCAATGTAGAAATAGGAAATGGAGCAGCCAGCACAAGGGAAGGAGGAGGAGCAGGGAGAAAAGAGGGCCGCTCCATTGCCCGTTTCGGCATTGTAGCACCGTGCTGTGGAGCTTGCTTCACCCACCACTGCCCAGGACCCACCCACCACCTCCCAGGCCCTCGCTTTCCCTAAGCATTTCTTTGCCTACCTGATTTTCAGCTCTTTCGCATTTCTGTCCCATTTCTCACCATCTTGTGCAGGGAAACAAAAGTTTGTGGGATTAAAAATAGTTCATTCAATCAACTCCAACTTCTTGTGAAAAAAAAATATCTCACAAAGTTGGAATTGATTAAGTGAACTTTTTTTTAAAACTGAGACATATGAAACCCCCACCCAGCCATCCCTACCTAGATTTTGTGACTCCCAGTTTTTTCTGTGGAAAATGAGTCTGTATCTCTCTTCCTCTCTCTCTCCCTCCCTCCCTCTCATTTCTATTCTCTTTCTTTCTTTCTTTCTTTCTTTCTTTCTTTCTTTCTTTCTTTCTTTCTTTCTTTCTCTCTCCCCTTCTCTCTCTCATTTGTTTCCCTCTCTTTTCCCCTCTTTCATTCTCTCCCTCCAGCTCTCTCTCATTTCTCTCTCCTTCTCCCTCTCCCTTCTCTCTCTCTCTTTTGTTTCTCTCTCTTTTTCCTCTCTTTCATTCTCTCCATCCATTTTTTCATCTTTCTTTCTCCCCTTTTCTCTTTCATTTCTCTCTCTTTCTCCCTCTCATTTCTGTTTTTCTCTTTCCTATTTTCCTTCCTTCCTTCCTTCCTTCCTTCCTTCCTTCATCTCCTCCTTCTCTCTCTCATTTGTTTCCCTCTCTTTTCCTCTCTCTCATTCTCTCCCTCCAGCTCTCTCTCATTTCTCTCTCCCTCTCCCCCTTCTCTCTCTCTCATTCGTTTCTCTCTTTTTCTTCTCATTATCTCCCTCCATTTTCTTCTTTCTCTCTCTCTCTTTCTCATTTCTCTCTCACACGTGTGCGTGCAAGGATACCCTCTCTCTCGCACGAATGGGGACACCCTTCGCAAACGAGTGGCCAGGCTCAGTCAAAGCGCAGCGAAGGCCCGTGGAGCAGGAAAAGAGGGCTGGCTCTGCCGAACATTGCATGTCCACCCCATGGATCCAGCTTGGAGAAAGCCAGAGCACCCTTGCCAAAGATGCTCGCCCGTCAGCCGATCAATCCGCCTGCTCCACACACCTTCACTGTGCTTTGGCCAAGCCTGGCCACTCGCTTGAGGAGGGTATCTCCACTTGTGCATGCGCTCCTGGCCCCGCAACAGCCGGCCAGGGGGTCGCGTGAGAAGGAGGAGGAGGGTCGTCTTCAGAGAAGCTGCCACTGCGGCTTGTGCTCCTCAGCTGCAGGCCTGTCCCCCTTTCCATCATACCCTCCTCCCAGATCCCTTCCCACCCTGTCAGCCCTCGTGTTAGTGAGGTTGGTGTTGGCCACAGCCGGGTTGGGCCAGTGTCTCGGGGCGGAGAGCAGGTCGCGCGACTGGGTCAGCAAGCAGCTGCAGGAGAGGTGTCAAAGAACTGCATACAGCTCTGGAGGTGCAGGTTGCCGACACCCGGTGTAGGCTATTGGAAGAGAAAGATTATGGAGGATGTGATAATTGACTTCCAGTACTTGAGTGGTTGTCACAGAGAAGAGCGGATTGACTTATTCTCCAAAGCACCAGAGAGCAGGAGAAAAAGTAATGGGTGGAAGTTTGTTAAAGAGAGAACCAATCTGGAAGTAAGGAGAAATTTTCTGACAGTAAGAACAATTAATCAATGGAATAGGTTGTCTCCTGGATTTGTGGGTGCTCCATCACTGAGGTTTTCAAAAATAGACGGGACAGTCATTTGACCAGGAAGGTATAAGGCCTCCTACCTTGAGCAGTAAGTTGGACTAGAAGACCTCTAAGATCCCTTCCAGCCCTATCACTACATCTTGAACAACAAAAGATTTGTAATGTATTCAGTGTTGATAGAACTAGCAAAAAACATACAGTAGAACCTGTCTGCTTCCCAGTTTAAATCAATCTGTGTAGCACAGTGCTCCTACTTTTTCAAAAGAGAACTAAATCTATGATCAATATGTAAGATCTGACAAATGCTATTGAAAGCCCTGGCTAGGTATTACATGGGCAGATCACTCTGGAAGTATCCAGTGTCTCACCCGATTATAAAAAAGTCATGGAAGGCAGTACTTAGGAGAGAAGGTGCTATGCCCACAATAGCCTAAAATAACCCAGAAATCCTGGGCAGAAATGCTGACCACGTCAACAATGAAAGTACTTTAAGCATATCATATCAAATCCATGGGGAAAATGTTATTGAGATAACTACGGAATGCTGGAAACATTGATGAATCAGCTAGGAATGCCAACCTCATGAAAATATAGTAGAAAAAGTAAATTGCGTGTTTATGCCATCATGGGGGCAAGTGAAAAAGACTCATAACTGCCCCATAACTAACATTTTGTTCAACAGTGACTGTATAAAATGCTGAGAAAATTAGCATAGCTGAAAAATGAACATATTTTTATCTTTTTTTAAAGGTTTTTTTATTAAATGGCATGTATAAAGTTAATGTAGAAAAATAATAAAATATAATTAACAGGGAAATATAAAATATAATTAAAAAGGGATGCGGTAGCTAAGATGTTGAGCTTGTTGATCGAAAGGTTGGCAGTTCAGTGGTTCAAATCCCTAGTGCTGTGTTAACAGGGGTGAGCTGTTCCTTGTCCCAGCTTCTGCCAACCTAGCAGTTTGAAAGCACATAAAAAATGCAAGTAGAAAAATAGGGATTACCTTTGGTAGGAAGGTAACAACGTTCTGTGCACCTTTGGCATTGAGTCATGCCAGCCGCATGACCATTGTGTCATGTGGACAGCGCTGGCTTTTGGCTTTGAAACGGAGATGAGCACCGCCCCCTAGAGTCGGGAATGACTAGCACATAAGTGCGAGGGGAACCTTTATCTTAAAATAGGGAAATCATGTACTAAGCTGAAAATGTTTTAAAATTTAGTGAAAATGTTTAGAGTATTTTAGACCTTTCCCTGCTTCTATACTGAGGTTTCAGAATAATGTTTTGCTGCAACTGATTTTCTGTGTTCATAAGAAACTCATTTAAAAAAATGAAACAAAAATTACTCTACATTAAGCATTTCAAACAAAATTTTCTTCTGTGAGTTTTCTAAGACTTTATTGATTTACAGAACAGCTAGTTCATATAGTTTATTGTAGTGGTTAAAGCACCAGGCTAGAAACATGAGACTGGAGTTTTAATCTTGCCTTTGACACAAAGCCAACTGGTGACCCTGGGCCAGTCATTCTCTCTCAGCCCTAGGAAGGAGGCAATGGCAAACTACCTTTGAAATCTTGCCTGGATTTTGTACTCACATTCATAATCCACTTTATTTTGATTATAGGACAGGTTTCTGTTTTCCGCATCATTGAATACTTACAAGAAATGACAGGGCAAAGCTGTGAAGACTGGAGGCTTCAATCTCTCTACAAAAGATTGGACCCTGAAGAACAAGGGCTTACTGTTGATTTTTTTACCTTCTATACTGTTATGAAAGATTGGATTGCAGACTGTCAACAGGAAGGGTGAGTATTGACAGTATTCAGAAATTGATTTACAGTTTTTTTTTTTTTTTTTTAATTTGATTTATATGCCGCCCTTCTCCGAAGACTCAGGGCAGCTTACAATGTGCTCAGCAATAGCCTTCATCCTTTTGTATATTTATACAAAGTCAGCTTATTGCCCCCACAAACTGGGTCCTCATTTCACCTACCTTAGAAAGGATGGAAGGCTGAGTCAACCTTGAGCCTTGGCGAGATTCGAACCAGCAGTAAATTGCAGGCAGCTGTGTTAATAACCAGCTTAATAACAGGGTGCCTTAAACCCCTGTACTACCAATGGGGCGGGGGAGAAGAGAGATGCATGTAGAGAGACGTGGCTCCACTTGCTGTCTCTTCTCCTCCCCCCTCGCCGGGCATGACAGGGCTCTGCCCCTCGCTTAGCCACTCACTCCCTTTAGGTATGCAGTTTGGGGTGGTAGACGGGGCGGGCAAGAAGCAGGACGCAGGTCTTACCTTTCAAGCTCAGTCCCTTTCCTCACTGTTGTGTCCAGGGAAACATGCTGTAAAAGAAAACCTTTTTGCAAGTTCAATCAAACTTCTCGAACTTCTTTAATTGAAGCACACAGCATGAGTACTAGCTGTTGTTTGACTGCAACAATCTAAGTTTGCAGAAATGTGGTATGCCAATAATAAAGAAAGTAAACTAAAGGTGGAACTCCAATAAATTTATCTCACATAGAATCAATTTTGAGAAGCATATGTTAATTATAAATAAAGATTGATAAAGAGTAGTTTTATATTTTTGTTTAGTTTTCTCAATAATGCGTTATTAACATGACTAACTAAATGCCATCAGAAATAATAATATATACTAGTTTGAGTACAATCTCTTCAACACAATATAGAAAAAATATGATATACACTAATGCTATTCCAAGATGTATCTTCTGTGAATTCTTACAGTCAATCCTTAATCTCTTGCTAAAATAGTTTTAAAAGGAATTATATGCAACAACATGTTGTGTAATCAGGATAAAAAAAGTTTTTTTTAAAAAAAATGCTTACTTTGTATACACACACACACACACACACACACACACACACACACACACGGTATACATATGATCTGGCTATCTGATTTACTATTTGTCAGCCACTATGAGAACTTTTTGAATAAGAAGTGAGGTGAATAATGTTTTAAATGTAAAATAATACTTGTTATAATAGATGACAGTGAAAAGTTACTTGCATTGAACCTGTAGTTTATATCAGCAGAAGAGTGAATTATTGGCAATAGGAACTATTTGTCTATAAGTATTTTGGACCCCATAGTTGTAATGAACTATTTGTTGCTTAAGATAAAATATTTGATCCATATGGTATGTTACAAACCATATATAGAATTTGTAATGGTGAGTGTGGTATAATTAGCATTATAATGGAATATAATGACAAAAATCACTTTCCAATTTATTGGCTTTTTCTGTTTTTTCCAAAAAAGGGAAGAAGCTATTGACTTGACAAATAAGGACTTACAGCATGACAACAAACTGTTAGCAGTGCAGAATGTTAAACTACAGAGAACTATTGAGGCTGCAGAAGAGCTCAATTCAAGACTCTCTGAAGAGATTTCTCAATTGAAAGGGAAGCTGAGAGGGTAAATGACAGAACTGTCTTACATGGGGCCATTGATAAGGATTAATCTCAAAATGCAACTAATACATTAAAATGTGGGGAAGCACTTAGGAAAAGGAAAAAAATAATATGAATGTGTTTATGCAACATTATGCATATATTGCTGAAAGTTAAACAGATAACTCAATGACAGATCAGTACAGATCTTTGAAATATTCTCACTCCACGGAACATGTCTTATGCCTCTATATTTTTCTCTGTCAACATCTTTTTATACTGTTTTTGACTTTTTTCTACAGTACCAGTTTCCCAATATAAGTTTGTGCCTAGGTTACCTTCTTTCTTAATTTTGAGCTTAATATCTAATTATTTCTTCTTTTCATTTTCAACTTTGTTGTCAGTTCATCACAAAGGCAGAGTTCAGGCCATTATGACTGAACACAATTTTTGTTATATTACAGTAACCAGCAAACACTGGAACAAGCTAAAGTCTCAGCAAATGAATTGGAAGATCTGAAAATTTTTTCAAAAAATATGGAGGAGGAAAATAATAGATTACACACACAAGCACGGCAGTTGGTACGTCTCTCTGTACATTTAATTGTATCTTGTAATCTATCAATATTTTTTCTCCTTTAGGAAATCAAAGTATGCATATTTCTTTTAGCTTATATTTATTATTTGTTTGTTTTTGTTTTTTATTGGAAGATTTAAGACTTTTGCAAAATTAATTCTGAAACTATTAGAGGCTTTTCATTTGCACATTGCGGTTGGGCAGCAGAACTGATTAATTTCTTAGCAGTTGCAAGGGAGGTATCACTGCAAACAATTGGTACCTGAAACACTTGAAAGCATTTATTTTCCATTGGTACATGCTCTTGTCTCACTCAAGCACCTTGAATCTCCTGCTTCAGACTGGATTTAAGTCACAATTCAGGGCACCTTTTAAATAGGAAAGTTAAGAACTCAGAATTCATGTCCTTATGGAGTGATTATAAGCATATCTCCATGTATCTTGGGTTGATGCATGTTGGTGGGCATACTTTCAATCTTATGTTTTTTTCCTTGAGCTGTTATTGAAAGATCTGGGGATGGGGAGAATTTCTATCCCATTGCCATGATCAAATCGTGCACTGGTGTAGGAATAAAGGCATTAGGTTAGAAATGGGGACACTGAGTTCTAGTTCTACCTTAGGCACAAAACCAGCTGGATGATCTTAGGCCATTCTCTTTCAGGCCTAGAAAGGAGGTGGGGGCAAATTGCTTCTGAAAAAGCCTTACCAAAAAAACTGCAGGACCACAGTTTAGACCTCAACTCATGACTACAATTGAAATTGGAATTTCAGTTGTTAAGCAATGCAGTTGTGATATCATGTGACAGAATTTCTCAGCAATATCAATCCTGGCACTCCCTGTTCCTGTCGTTAACTGAAATCTATTGGTTGTTAGCTGAATATCCATTCCAATCCAAGCCATTCTGTGCTTGGCCTCTCCTGACCTCAAGCCTCAACAAAATAAAGAACTGTTTCCTTTTCAGGTCTTCCCACCTGCATATCTCTTCTCCGTCTGTGCCCTTTTGGCTGCCTTGCATCCTGCCATATGCAGTGGCAAACAGCCCTAGGGACTGTTCAGCTCTGGAACCTCTTGCCACATGGTAAATGTACCTGCAACAGCTGTAAATTTGGAGACTGCTTGTAAGCCCTTTTGTTCAGCACCGCAATAACTACCACAAAGAAGAGGGAATCAAGCTATTCTCCAAAGCACCCGAGGACAGGCCAAGAAGCAACGGGTGGAAACTAATCAAGGAGAGAAGCAATTTAGAACTAAGGAGAAATTTCCTGACAATTAGAACAATTAATCAATGGAACAACTTGCCTTCAAAAGCTGTAGATGCTCAAACACTGGAAGTTTTTAAGAAGATGTTGGAAAACCATTTGTTTGAAGTGGTTTAGGGTTTTCTGCTTAAGCAGGAGTTGGACTAAAAGACCTCCAAGGTCCCTTCCAACTCTATTATTCTATTCTATAACTTTAAATAGCTGCTGAACTAATAGTCATAGGTCAAAGACTACCTATAGTCCAGGCCGTCCCCAGGAGTCAGAAATTGAATCAAAGGCCCACATAAACAAACAAAAGACCCACAATCTAGATGCCTGTTGGTTTAATTGATTTTCAGAAGGCATTCAGGGATTTCCCAGTTCTGATGAGTTGTTTTTTGCAGAATCTTGTAAGCAGCTACCATCAGGCAGCAAACCAGGCATTAAATGTTATTGCTCCCTTGAATCCAATAAAGCATGGATACATGCCTTTATTCAGGCCTACATGATGGTGATGAGCAAGGTGAGGTGTGTCTACTTCTCCTCCCTTACTGCATCAAATAGCTGCTATCCTGTGGTCTTGTATAGGATTATTAACTCCCTACTGGGGGAAGAAACATTTTTGTGATCTTACACGGTGCATGCGCACGCATGCGCAGCAGAGCTGAACAGGGGGACGGCCTGCGTGCCATCAGAGAGAGCACTGCATGCAATCTCTGGCATGTGTGCCATAGGTTCACCATCATGGTATAGTGTAATATTAATGCAGTATCGGGTTTTCAATTCAATTGTGTAGAATGTGAAAGATGTGTGTTTGTGTTTTATTTTTTTATAGTTTTCTTATGTATGATATACACTGAAGAAGGCACTTAATTTTGTTGAACAAGGTGCAGTGACAATAAAGTAAACTTAAACTTTATGTTACACATGCATGGTTTTTATTCTTACTGCATTAGCAGTTTTTATTCTCTACTGTGGATGTTTCAATTTGTATCTTTTATGCAGTGAAAGTTGCCAAGAGTTTCCTTGGATTGTGCCACTATGTTCAATAAATAAGTAAACAAATAAGTGGTTCTTTCAAGTGATAACATGACTCCAAACTGCCTGGTCATTTTAAAAAATTATTGTTAAACAGATGCTGTGTAATGGGGTACTGTCTGTCAGTTTTGGCATTGAGCATTGTATAAGTGTTGCAAGAATGGGAGCAGTGAACACAGGCAAGCTCTTTGAATTACTTTATGAAGATTTGAGAAATAAAAAGGAGAGCTTTGTTTAAGTGCAGTCATTAGCTTATGTTGAAACGTAGTGTTGATGCAACTTTTTTCAAAATTCTTGTAACAGCCATTCAGTCAATATTTTTCTTCTATATTCTTTAGGAAAAAGAGCAGCAGCTTCTCTCTGTTAAGATGGATAACCTTCAGGATGAGGTGAGGTAAAGAGGAGAGGGTTCAGAAAATGAAGTTATAGTAGTTATGCCTGAAATAATTGCAGGGCTCACTAATCACTTTAATTTAACAGAATTTCAAAGGCAGCAGAAAATTGTACCAGCTTGAAATTTTCTATCCTCATTGCTGATCCCTATCTAACCCAGGGGTGAAATCTAAATATTTTTGCTACCGGTTCTGTGGGCGGGGCTTGGTGGTGACTGGGTGGGCGTGACCAAGTCAATGTCACTTCTTTGCCCTTTCTTAACCTACAAAACACAACACAACACAACACCCACAATGTAAAAGCAGCTGGGCTAGACTCAAAATGGCCCCGCAACAAGCAGGAACCTCACACAGCCACAAAAAGCCCAAAAAAACAACTTTCACACTTTACACACACACAACACAACACAACACAACTGGCTCACCCACAATGTAAAAGCAGCTGTGCTAGACCCAAAATGGCCCCTGCAAAAAGCAGGAACTTCACACAGCCACAAAAAGCCCAAAAAACGAACTTTCACACTTTACACACACAAAATTCCACATACAGCTTTGTGAGATTTTGTGTGTTTGTGTAGTTAGAGTGAAATACTACAGAAACACACTAAATCTCAGAAAGCTGCACAAATATTATTTCATTTTAATTTATTTTTATTTTTATATAAAAGCAGCTAAATTTAAAACTTCCTAAACTTTAAATGGCTAGGTCTAAAAAAAGAACAACTAAAAAAAACCCAATTAACTATTTTTTTTTAAAGCTCCCAAAGGGGAAAAAAGCTTACCTAATAAAACAGGGGTCTCTAACCTTGGCAACTTTAAGACTTGTGGACTTCAACTCCCAGAATTCCTCAGCCAGCTTTGCTGGGAGTTGAAGTCCACAAGTCTAAGCAGGAAGGCAAGCAGGCAGAAAGAGCTGCTCACCGATGAGCCTTTTACCCCTGATCTAACCTCTGTTCCAAGTCACTACTATTGCCTGACCTCCCTTTTAGATATTAGATAACAAAGTCTAACCAACATTCTATACCTTAAGGCTGCCTTTGGATAGTGTCAGAATAAAGGTGAGATATTCTTTAACAACTGCACAGCTAATTTTTTATTTCAAAAAGAATCACTGCATGAAATTGCAGTGCAAAGTGTAATTGTGTATATTATCTACTTGTACATTGGATTGTAACATCTTCCTCACTCAGCTGGAAAAGAAACTAATTGAAACACCATCATCACATACTGCCTTGACACAGAGGTAAGAAACATTCATAATCTGTTGAATTTGTCTTCCAGAACAAAAAATTGCTTCTAGAAAAAGAAAGCTCAGAGGGTAAAATCAAAGAGCTATTTACAAAGAAAGCCAAAATGAAGGTATGAATGAGCTGAGTTGTATACATAGCTTATTGAAAATGTCAGTGTACAACTAGTTGGGTAGTTAACTGCAGTACTTATAATTTGGCTATATGATTGCAACTACCATATTTGTATTTTTATTTCCTTGTAGTCACAACTCTCTGAGTATGAAAATCATATCTCTTGCAAAGAGGCTGCCCTTAATAAGGTGAGTAAGGTAAGCTAAATTGAAAATGTAGTTACCTTATTTTTCAGAATATAAGACGCACTTCCCCCCCACAAAGGATGAAAATTTGGGTGTGTATTATACATCGAATGTAGTTCCCACCCCCACCCTTTAGCTTCTGCCTCCCAGCAATTTACCTCCGTGCAGCAAACAGCCCATTTCAGCTTCAGCACTACCTGATTAGCACAAGCAGCTGATTGTCGGTTGGATCGGCCTCCTGACCCTCAGCTGTTTCAGGTTGCAGGGATTGCCATTGTCTATGGGCCTCTGCTATTTGCTGCAAGGAGGCAAATTGTTGGGAGGCAGATTTTTTTTTCTTGTGCTAATCAGGCTGTGATGAAAATGAAACTAAAGCAGGCTGTTTGCTGTTTGCTGCAAGGAGGCAAATTGCTGGGAGGCAGAGGCAGATTTTTTTTTCTTGTTTTCCTCCCCAAACAAGGTAGGTGCATCTTATAGTCTAGAGCGTCATATACTCCGAAAAATGTCACAGTGGGGGTGGGGGTGTAAGATGATTGTGGGTCTTATATTTTGTGCTATTATGGATGATTATAACAGTTGAAACAACTATTGTTTTAAGGTGATGAAGAGTTTTTGCTATCATAGTTACTATAATAAATGCAGGTACCATTTTAAAACTCATCAAACTCATCACCACTAATTTATTAAAACTGCTTCACTTTTTCACACTTTTCCTGTGAACCTGAAAAATAGATGCTGCAGAGCTATACATTTTATAGTAATTTGCAATGATTCTTCAGATATTAAAATAATAGATAACCTCAGCCTAACTTGTTTTGTCTCTGCATTTAGGAATCCCTAGATGTCACTACAACTTCAATATTAAATTTAATTTGATTATGAAAAAGAATGATTCCTAGGTTCAGATCATCTTCTTGTTGTGCCATATCCGTCATCGGACGTTGGTGATCATGTTGGTGATCCTATTTTTACCAACTAGGTTCAGATAGCTATTTTCAAAATCTTTACTAGAACACAGTTTGCTTTGTGATACTGAGTTACTTTCTTTAATGGATTTTATTAATGTTTATATTTATAGAAAATAAAACAAATCGAAGAGCTTACAATAACTCTGGACGAATATCGAATGATGGTACAGGTAATGTACATTTTAATTGTGACAAGAAGGAATCTGTCCAGAGTGTCATTAAGCAATCCAGGCACAAGCTTGCTTGGAATGTCCACAGATTATTATCCTAAGTTTCCCATTCCAGTTACATAATTGCAAAAGTATTGGTAACTCCAACTAGGAAGGTGAAGCTTTACAGATTTTTCTACTCCTTCTTCAGTTTGTGGCAAGTGTTCTACATCAGGCAAATTACTGAAATGTTAATGAAATTGAACATTTCTGTAAAGTAACTCTATGCAGATTTGTAGATATTCCTGTTTAGCTACTGCCTTGCTTCTTTCCTCTGCACTATAGCAATTGTTGTAAATATTCTTATATTGTACTGTCCATATAGGAATTGAAACTAGAAGTTAGTAGGCTTCAAGAACACTTATGTCAATCCTACCAAGACTTAAAAATGTAAGTGCTATCAGCATTGGATATTTTTATTGTGAGAGTTTTAAGATGTACTGTAAAGCCTATTGAATGCTAATACTATAATATTTGTTACAAACTGTATTTTTAAGGAAAGACTAAAAAGTGATATTAAATAAATACCATATATAACTGCTATTCCAACAAATCTTGAGGCTAATTTGTAATTACATTATTCCTTTTCACTCTGAATCATGGTCAATCTCGTATTTATTCACAAGAAATTATATAACCCATATGTAATGTTAAGGCTTTTTATATTATATTAACTTAACTATATCTTAATTTTGGGAAGACATATTGAACAACTTATTTATTTCAACTTATTGAAATAAATGATAATATCATATTTTCTAATGTATTCAGTTTTATTATATATATATTTAAACCATTTTTCGTACCAGATGTATAGCTGCAGAAATGTAATAGAAATGGAAAATTTTCTACAACTCAGCAGTAGTTATTTTCTTGATGCAGGCCACCAACAAACTCTCTACAAAACATGAATAGTCCCATACAGGCATCCGCACAGTCACTCTACAAAGAGATTGAAGAATCACATAGAGTAAGAAGCATTTCTGTTTATAGAATTATGCCGTTGCTTTAGATGAACTGATAATAATCTTGGGTATTTTGAAAATAAATTGGGAATGTATTAAAGAATAGAAGACCAGAAATTTATCACAAACTTTTTCCATCTAACTGTACCTTACCCATAGAATGAAATGAATAGAGAATTGCTGCTTGCATTCTTTGAAGTATAAACAGAGCCAAGCAAGCCCTAGCCAACAAAACCAACTCTGTTAGAGTTCTGGAAGATTTGTAAGACCTGGCTGTTTTCCCAGGTCCAATGTTGGAACCCTTCTTGTGGTTTTGTTTGTTTGTTTGACTATTAAGGCTGTTATGTTTTGTTGCTATGCTTTTAATTATTTGAAATTGTAAATTTGCTCAGGATCTTTAAGAATGGGACAATTATATTAAACCTAAAAAAACAGTAAACAATAAGTTTATTAAAATTAAGAAGAAATTTATGAAATAATAGATTAATCTTTGGAAAGAGGGTAAAGATTGGGATTGTTTGGATTTCAGGGCCAAAGAAAGCACTTTTAAAGTACCTGCTTGCAATTCTTTAAAGCTGTCAGAGTTTCACCCAGGATTTGACAAGTTCTGAAAACTCAAATCTGCACCCTAGAGCAATATGAAGAGACAAAGACATGACTCAGATAAATAAGTTACTTTTACTGCAGATAGAAGCCCAGATAATTAAAATCAACTCCTCTGTGATCAAGCCCTCTAAACAATTCATGGTTTAAATATTATAACTCCTCTGCCTGTTTTTATATAGTAATGGACAATCCCACTCATTTCTCAGCCCTGAATGTGCAGGTACCTATGCATATTTTGGTAATAGTACTGTTTGATCTCACATTCTTTGCTTCTGACTTTAGTCTGTCCACACAAAAATAACTGCCTCTTTTTGTGGAATTGCATAATTCTGTTCATATATCTGTGAAATTGAATGTAAGGAATTGAAATTATGTTACTTATATCCATGCTCCAAAATACATCTTCCTTTTCAGATGTAAAGCTTTGCATAATACCTGTAGTGCATATGTTAATATTAAATTATAATTAAAGTTGGATGGTCACACCAGTGCTGCCTTATAGCGAATTAGTAGTCATTATCAACTCAATCAGCATGGAAATGGAGTTGTCACACTACAGTCCAGTGCTAGAATGAAGTTACCACATTACAGGCCAATCCTAGATTGTTACAGTTATAATGCATATAACACATGTAGTAGAAACTGATGGGAATAACATTGTGCCAAGAATAAATATTTTATTCTGAGTGTTGGAAAAAACTCTGTGTCATGAAATGCTATATTAATAAGTATTAAATTGTATGCAACATGCCTCAAACTATGACTTCATATACCTCTGTTGTATGTAGCAGGAGATTGGTAAGGAGTGTGGCTTGCCTAGTCCTTTGTGTGGGATGTTGAATTCTTTGGTGATACATCCAGCGGGTGAAGGAAGCATTGATTATTTGACAGAACAGGTAAATATAGAATCACAAGTACATTGGGTTCCCCCCTTTTTTCTGAAAACCTGAATTATAATGACACATACTGTAGATTTCATAGCAGTGAGCACTTAAAGTTTGATTCCTGCTTTAATAATGGCAAATTATTCCAAAAGTTGATTTGGACACATTTTTTTGGTATCCCCTACTTCTGTTTTTAGGTTTTTTTTTAAAAAAAAAACAAATTAATTCCAAGTGATATCTGCAGCTAATTCAACATTGCATGTCCAGCTTTTAGCAGATACTGTTCAAGATTTCAGTAGACTTGTGAATATCCCTTCAAGTCTACTTGGACGTATTCCCATCAGCAGAAGGTGACTGATCAGCCAACAATGACTGATTTTCAGTCCTTTTGCTTTTGGAAATCTGCCATAATGAATTAGAACAATCCAAGTTTATCACCAAGATAAACTTCTTATTATTAATTTAGAACTATTTGGATGAACAATGTAGCATTACAATTAATATATACTTAATTAGAATTCAAAGCATCATCTTTAATCCTTCATATAAAAGATAGCATCTCAAATTTTCTATCTGAGCAATAATTGTCTGGATATTTGTAGCTTATATATAATAGCACTACTTTCATAACCTTTTTAAGTAAGTTAAAAAGTCCTGCTCTCAGTTTTGTTAAGAACTGATAAAGGACCTAATGTGAGATTTATTGTTCTGGCAACTATTCTTTTTCTCTTTCTCTAGGAACATAGCAAGAAAGGGTCAGATGATACCAAAGCATTACTTCCAGTTTTACATAGCTTGTCTCAGTTAAACATTTCGACTGATAGTAAACTAATATTGAAGAATCAAGAACATAAACAAAATCAAAATAATCTTCTAACAGAGAAAGGGGAAAGGTAGGAAAGATGGTGACATTGTTGAATAAATGAGAATGTTTTAAGTCTCAAAGATATTCTTCGATCAAGAGTTTAGCTATAAGTTGGGCAAGTGATTGAAAATACTCAGATCTCTTTGGAAATAAATTTTTCTTTTTAATACTTGAATGTTTCTAAGAGATGGATGTAAATAGGAACAATAACAAACAAATATTGGAAAATAAGAGCAACAGATGCTACCCCAGCGAGATTCTATGGACTCCCTAAGATACACAAAATAGCAGTCCCTCTCAGATCTATTGTAGTGCCACGAGATACCTCTACCTACAACTGGACTAAATGGCCGCACAACATTTAAGCTTCCTGATCCCACCCCTGAAGTCATCCACACAACTTTTGATAAAACTACAAGACTTAAATGTGGCTCCTAATGAGATCATGGTCTCCTTTGATGTAATACCCCTATTTACATCCATCCCTCCTCACTTAGCATACGAAGTAATAGATTAAAAAAACTAGAAGAGTACAACAGAGATCACAACAACTTAACCAGGACACAAATCATGAAGCTACCAACATGTAAGTAGTGCCAACATGCCTTCTTCACATTCAAAATGTAAATGTATGAGCAACTAAAAAAGACATATCAGGTATCATTGCAGAAACTGCCCTGCATGAACTAGAACAACATGAATTTCAAAATGACACTCCTAAATTTTGATGCCACTATGTGGATGACACATTTGTCATCATCAACAGAAATGCACTGAAAGACTTTCATACCCTACTGAACTTCATTTACACAGATGTACAATTCACAATGAAGGAAGAAGCGGCATTACCGAACCGGTAGTGAAGGTAAGTGCATTTCACTCTTGAATTGACTCTAAAGAATGGATGTGTGGGCCTACTCATCTAATGTAGAGTCTCAGGTACTTTCTTGTATTTGCAAAGAGAGATAATGACATAGAGATTTCTAATCTGGAAGGGGGATATTTTTAGATAGAATGATTGGCAGCCTTTATGCGCTGAATCAACTACAAGAATATCTAAATTGTACTTGCTGTATGCATGTTTAAATCTGTGAACAACCATGTTTACATTCACTTCTCCAGAAAAATACATAGTTTGTTTTTGTAATATGTATCTGTTATATCAGCATCTCCTCATTTAGGTATTTATTGAAACAAAGAATTTAACTAGGGATACCAGACTTTTCCATGAATTGCATGTGACCTCCTTTCAGATATTTGAATACCTACTGTTTTATACTCCTTAGGCATTTTCTTTTATGTTTGAACATATCCATATTTTTTCAATCTCTCTTCATAAGGCTTAGTTTTTTGTGTTAGTATTACATATACTTTAATATTCTATGTTTTGGAGTTATTTTTCCCCAGTGTGACTTTTGTGGTATGAGTCCACTTATGGAATATGATCTTTGATTTATTGCTTATCTGCTGTAAAGTGAGTGAATTTTGGCTTTGTTAATTATGGTTTATCAAAATATGGTTAAGTAAATCAGAGTTTAGCACAGTATATAAGTAGGCCTGAGATAATGTCCAAGACATATTTAGTTAAAGCTAAACATAATAACCATTATTTGCACAATTACTTTCTTCTGTTGCTGTCTGTTGTTTCTTATTCATACCATATTCCTGTATGACTTTGAACCTAAGCCAGGGTATAATCTACAGTTGATTCTCCAATGAAGGCTTTGGAGTGACCACAAAACAAGACTGCTTCTGTTTTCTTTGTCTGTTAGCCCTGTCTGTCTTCTCAAACTCTGAAAAAGAAACAAACAAACGGAAACAAAGATATTAGTGGGAATAGGAACTGAGGTTTTTTCAGTCTGTCTACTATAGTTGTGTCTAAGAAATCTACAGTAGTTTTTTACAGTACTTTTTCAATTTAAACTCCTATCCATTGTTAGAATTAATTCTCACACAGCCATAGAATGGTATCATAACAATAAGGAGGCTTTTTACAACCATTTCCTATTTTATGTAATTGCCTTTTCCTAGGTAAAAGAGTTATCTTTGATTTATATAGTTGCAAGTATCTTGTGGAAAGCTAATAGATTTTCTCTTAGGAAAATATAACATAAAGGGGCTTATTTTTGCTTAATATTATTTAGGCTGTAATAGGAATGATGAAATATTAAATATGGTATACAGGACTATTTCCTGTTTTTGTAGGGTACCACTTGTTTATCTTCTCTATATTTATTTGATTTTACTGAGTTAATATTTTTTTAGAAATAGCTTCAATTTGACTGAATAAAAGAATGTATGTAAGTAAATTTGGGCAGGTAATAGAGTCCCTGGTCTTTCCCATCTTGCCTCTAGCCATTGCATAAACATGCCTTAGTAACATCTGTTTTCTTCTATATATTGTTGATACTGCTTTCGTGTCATTTCTGGCCCATGAGTCAGAGAGATTTAAGTTATCCTAAGCTGTACTGGAATTAAAGGCTCATCCTCATGTACTCCTCCCTGCAACATGAACATGTCCCAATAACAATTTTTTTTTTAATTCCATATCCTCATGACATTGCCTTTGTCTCATTCCTATTCCACAGCTGAACTAGCTTAAAGCCATATTTATCTGTTCCCATTTTAAAGCAATGCCCTCTTCTATGTTTTTGCCGTGGATATGCTACAGCGTACTTCATCCATAATTTAGTTGTTAAAACAGTCAAGGAGAGAAACTACCCTATTCATATTTGAAACCTTAGACTGCAAGGGGGACATTTAATACAAGAGATGATGGATGGTGTTATGTTGCCTACATCATTTCAGGTTTATGGCAATCTATGGGTTATTTCTTGGTGCTGCCATCGCCCCAAACAGAAGTGAATTTGCTACAATTTCATTATTTTCATTATTCAAGAACAGAGTTCACTTGCCATGGATTGTTCTCTCCAGTTTCACTCTCACTCATCCTCACAACTCAGCCTGGGCATTTTGAGGCTTGAGTTTAATGTTCTTTCAGAAAAGCACTAGACACAGTTCACAGATGTGAAACACACCCTACACTGATAACTGTAAGCCAGATACTTCAACAACTGGCTAAACATATTCTCCGCACTTGCCTATTCTTTTCCAATCTCATCCCACTGCAAGTTATGGACAGTAAATGGCAATTGTTTCCTTGCTGGTAGGAAACAATTTTGGGGAAGGGAAACAAATCAAGGGAATCAAGTAATCTCTTCTTAGTTTTGTATTCATTAAAATGGTAAGCACAATACAGATTACTGTGACACAATAGGTATTGTTAAGGATAGTACATTTCATGCTGGTATGGTATTTAGATATTATGATAAGTACCTTGAGGACTCATTTGCATAACATTATTTTGAAATAACAGTTTGTGGGACAAAAGAAATACTAAAATTTTAAAATCTGTTTTTCTAGTGGGTTTTGTCCAGATCGGGAGATAAAAATGCTTAAACAATTGAAAAACATATTTTCATTAATAAGCATTAATCAGCATTAATATGTTATTCATCATTTCCCCTCAAGATGGTGCATTTTAACTTTCAAGAAATCATGGTTTTCAGCTCAGCAGAATTGTAAGTGCACATGTTGAGTCCATTATGCAGAACAAGGTGTTGGTCTACTGTTCGTAACAGAATTTGTGCTTTCAATGAAGAACAACAAATATATATTTTGAAGAAGCAATTGTACTTGCAGACGGGATATTCATGCTGCTTCTTGTTTGGTACAGCACCCGTGAACTCTTTTTAGCAGCTGAGCCAGTTTAGTGAAAAAGAAATTTTTCTTTAGCTATTATCTATCAAGAGTTGTGGGTTATTTATCCATTAGAGGAGAACTTTTGCTTCATTCCTTTCTTAGCTTCTGAGCTTAAACTGTCCTGCCAAGTCCTGTAAAAGGAACATTAACAGCTTAGTATATCTACCTCAAATACTTTGCAAAATAAAAAAATAATGGGGTTGAAAGGGACTGCAGAGATTATCCAGTCTAATCCCTTGCATCCCGATAGGGATCACTATACCATCCTCAATATATATATGGTGATTTGATAAGTTTTTGTTTTACTATTTGTTTCTACAGGAGATAGTTACATGCCAAATGCAAGTTCTTGCCTTCGTTTTGTGGGGATGATGGGATTTTTTGTTGCTGCACATTTTAGGGCAGGACAATTATTTTTACTTTTTATTCTCAGCATTCCTGAATCAGCAGGAGTGAGAATAATCACGGTCAACTTGAAGTTGATATATATTCACAGTTGCTTTTTCCACTTTAAAGTAGAAGAAAAATATATCAGAATCTGGATGGGATAGATTATTCCAGAAATTTCCAATGATTTTGTCTTACTCAAGTCATAGCAGACACAACAAATCCCAGAGGCAATGACATAGATGTATATTGTCTCAAATGAAGTATGCTAGCACATAAGTCCTATAATATGTGGGGCTTTTGTTCCAGAAGTTCTGAAGAAACCTTGCAGAAACACCCTTTCGTCCCAAAAGATGGTGAGCTAATCCCAAATATTTGGAAAAAAACTAATGGCCACTCATGTGAAATTCTACTGCAGAGGTAAGGAATGGCTGTATTTGTCACATACTGTTGCCAATAATATTTATTCTTTCATGTAGCATTACTACAAATAGTCCTTGACTTACAACAGTTCATTTAGTGACTATTCGAAGTTACAGCAGCACTGAAAAAAGTGACATGACAATTTTTTACATTTACCACTGTTGCAGCATCCCCATAGTCATGTGATCAAAATTTAGAGACTTGACAACTGACTCGTATTTATGACAGTTGCAATATCCCAGGGTCATGTGATCACCTTTTGTGACCTGACAAAGTCAATGTGGGAGCTATATTCATATAACAACCCTGTTATTAAATTAACAACTAAAGTGATTCACCGAACAAATGTGGCAAGAAAGGTTTTAAAATGGGGAAAAATTCACTTAACAAATGTCTCACTTAGCAATATAAATTTTGGGCTTAATTGTGGTCATAAATTGAGGATTCTATTACAATTTTTACATACTTTTTTGTGCCTTCAAATCAGTCTTTACTCATAGTGCCTGTCTTGAAGTCTTGCAGTTTTTTGGCAAGATTTTGGAAGTGGTTTGCCATTGCCTGCTTCCTAGGGCTGAGTGGGAGTGACTAGCCCAAAGTCACTTTGTTGGTGTTATGCCTCTAGTGGGATTAGAACTCAGTTTCCTAGTTTTTAGCCTGATGCCTTAGCCACAACAGCAAATTGTGCCTTTTTAAATAGGAATTATATGCAATTTCTTTGCTTCCCATATACCTATATATAATCATGGCTAGTAAATTCATTACAGATACTATTCACATAGAAATGGCCCTAGAAGTAAATCTAGGCTAAATGGTCACTATAGGACTAGACCAGAGTATGCTAAAACAGGTGATCAATTTTAAAGCCAAGGAAAATGTTGCATTTCATTAAGATTCATATATTGGAAATCATAGTTAAAGGACAGATGGGTAGCTTCTCAGGAAGCTAATTAGTGTTTCAGTAATAAAGACTACAAGGGATATAAAATATTCAACTAGACTTTTGATTCTCAATTTCAAAATATAACAAACGGTTTTGGAGTAATTAAATATTTCCCCAATTTTCTTGTATCTACACTATAATGATATAAACAGACTAATGATATATGTGCAATTAACATTGGATCTTGAAATGTTTGAAAGTGGAACACAATAGAAAAAATAATTAAAGAATTAAAAATGTAGCCTTAAAACATGTAGCCTGTAAAATGTGCTGATTTCTCAACATATTGTTTTAGGCTTGATTAAGGAAGAGCTTTATAAGGAGTGCAGGAATGCGTTTGTTTCTTAATATTTAAATGCTTAATGTTTAAATGCTGTTTAAACATTGAAGTAAAAAATGGACCCAATTAATAAGCCACATTCTTTTCCTGTGAAAAGAGTTACAATCCATCTGTTTGAATTATTTATATACAGTATTTTAAAAGAAGAAAGCCACAATATCATTTGTGTTGTTTTCTGATGATTTTTAAATATTTTATATCTGCACCATAGTAAACAGAAATGATGAATTTCATATTGTTAATTCTAATTTAAAAGGATCCTGCTAATCCTCATTCAGTAAAAATTCATTATAACTCCTATGTTTCCAGATTCTGTATCTACCTTAAATTTTGCGGGTGCCATTTTTCTCTTAGTATTTGTTTCCTTTCTCTTTTCCTCCCTCTTCTTTCCATACAGATTTTTTGATATCCCGTTAGGCTATCTAATCCTGCACATCCTCCAGGAACTGTTATGCCTTGGGCTGCTGCTTTGTGTGTGTTTTTCCTTGCTAGCAGTTTTCTGTTTAATTATATTCTACAACCAATTTTCAATGTGGATTGAGCCAAAGGGAAAATTTTGGCATTTCTTGTCATTGCAGTATCAACATTTACCACCTGTCTGACCATTATCCCATCCCTAAATCCATACAAAAAAAAGGAGATGTCTTGGAAGATCCAACATGTAAATAAATGTTCTAGAAGAATAAATTAAATAGAGCATTTTTTCAATCATTAGTTGGATGTAAGATGGGATGTGCTACGTTTCCTGACTTCTTTCATTAACAGGAAAGCAAATTACCATATTTTTCAGACTATAAAACGCACCTAGCTTTTGGGGAGGAAAACAAGAAAAAAAATCTGCCTCTGCCTCCCAGCAATTTGCCTCCTTATAGCAAACAGCCTGGTCAGCTTCAGCACAGCCTGATTTAGCACAAGCAGCTGATTGGTAGTTGGATATACCTCCCGGAATACCGCCTATCAGCTGTTCCAAGCTGCGGGGATCGCTACCACCCATCACCACTGTCACCACCCATCACCACTGCCACCTATCACCACCTCTGCGCACACCATTTTCAACCCATTCCAGGCAGCAGGGATAGGTGATGGTGGCGGCAACGGTGATGGTGATATGGTATCTAGTTTTTCAAGGGAAGAGAACAATTCCAATGAAGAATTATAACAATATTCAGCTGATAAACATGATTCCAGTTTCTCTTTAGATATTTCCTAACAAAGGATAGTTAAAGATGAAATTAGTTTTTGAAATGTTATATATAATATATTATATATATATATCTGTTTCCAGACTAATTTGAATGTGAGACAAGGGCCATTGTCAGCCATCAAGTGTATGTATGGGTGGGAAATGTTATTGGGTATTCTGAAAGTTGTGTGGTAACAGGTGAAAAAAAGGTGCATGTATCATGGCTGAGAAATATCAATTTAGGAAGATTTCACTTTTGATCATTAGTTCCTTATCCAATTTTATATTGCCTGCCTCAAAGGAGAAGTTTGTTAAAGAAACCCTCTTGAAATTGTTGTATTTTTAATAACAATAGACGTATTTCATGTTTACCATTCTTAGTAAAGGTGATGAAAAGTGATGGCCACATGCTTTTAGATGAAACTGACTTTCTGATCTATTTCAATCCAGTTTCAGGCTTGGGCACAGCACAGAAACAGACTAGCCACCCTGATGGATGAAGAATATATACGGGGAGTGGTTATCAGGATGTGTGGGTACATATTATTTATACAATGCTCACATTTCTATTATCAGAGGTGTCATGGCCATACTATTTGAGCCAGATTATATACTGGATCAGATGGAACAGGTGAAAGTTAAGCCCAGACAAATGAGAGGGCCTAATGATTTGGGTAGATTAAAAATGTTGGAGTGCTTACTTATACTAAACAGGGTCATACTCCCTGTGAAGAAATACTTATGCAGCTTGATTTGTTCTTTCTGTAGTTTTCTGGATCAGGTTTTGTTAATATATAAATCCCTTAATAGTTTGTGTCCACCTAGCTAAAGTAATGGATTCTCCTCTATGTTGTGAAGCTGGAAGTTCTGTAAGAGCTTATTGGTAGAATCAATAAGGAGTAAGCCTTTTTTGGTGCAAGCATCAGTTTTATGGAAAGACTCATTCTAGAATTCAGATTGTTCCCTCTCTGCCTTGTTTTAAAAAGATTAATAACTTCGTTTTAAAAATGTTAATAAAGTGGCCATAGTATCCTATATGTTCTACATGTTTCATTTGGTTACATTACCTCAGATTCATAAAAATACTGAAGAACAAAATTTCTAATCCCCCCAAAGTTCAGTAACAAAACAAAGAGATCTTTCAGAGATCTACCAGTTAATGAGATTACCTTTAATTTTGAAGAACAGATGATACCCACCAAAAAGTGGGTGAAGGAGGTAAAAGATCCATAGTTTTAAGTAAGCTATTTGTCTGGTTCTTGACATTTCTAATATTTACCTGGTAATCCTACGCTAAATGCCATGTGCTTTTGTAAATATACTTGCACAGATATTTTCATTAGGTCTAAGCATGAGAGAACATACACCAAAAGTGGCGACTTAGAAGTGAATTATCTGTATGAGGCAAAAGAAACTGACAAATTCCAAACTTGTAAAAATGAAAATTGTAAGTGTGCATGTGAAGTAGAATGCAAAGATGTACAAAAGGTCACAATACTCTTTGTCTCGCACGTACTCCTTTTTTGGAAGTATGCCTATTCTGCAGTAAATTCATCCTCTTGGAAACTGATCCTGACTCAAAACTCATACCTCAGAGAAATCCAGACCAAAATTTCCCTCCTACAAGGATACATGACATCTATTAGCTGGTGGTTCCTCTCCTTCAGTGTCTTATCTGGCCATGATTTTGCTTATAAAATAGTGGCTACTGTGGTATCTGTACACGTTTATTCTGTTTTCTTTGAGGTGTTGATAACAGAGCCAGTGCCATTTGGACCTATCAGTATTAACTATAGTTACATTAACTCCAAGCAACAACATCAACGTAACAGTAACAAGAAGTTGAAATCAAAGCAAAATTACAGTAGTCAACTTACAACCACAATTGAGCCCAAAATTTATGTTAAGTGAGAAATTTGTTAAATGAGTTTTACTCCATTTTACTACTTTTCCCACCACATTTGTTAAGTGAATCACTGGGGTTCTTAAATTAGTAATATGGTTGTTAAGTGAATCTAGTTTCCCCATTGACTTTGCTTGACAGAAGGTTGCAAAAGGGGATCACATGACTCTAGGACACTGTAACCGTCATAAATGTGAGTCAGTTATCAAGCATCCAGATGAAAATCACGTAGCCATGGGGATGTTGCAACAGTCATAAATGTGAAAAATGGTCATAAGTCATTTTTTTCAGTGCCATTGTAACTTTGAATGATCACTAAATGGATTGTCATAAATGGAGGACTACTTGTCTTGATTTCCATGTTAAATTTTTGAAGAAGAAAAGTGTGCTTCTTTTTGGCCGTTCTCACACTGGGCACAAACTTAAGGTGCAAATGAGTTTCGCCAGGCCTACCTCAGCTACATTTTCTCTTATTGCTAATTCTTAATTAATAGGTAAACCTTTTCTTCATATCCCGATTGCGCCAGGCCTACCTCAGCTACATTTTCTCTTATTGCTAATTCTTAATTAATAGGTAAACCTTTTCTTCATATCCCGATTGGAAAGAAATCTGGCAGGTCTCTCCCCATTATCTGCTCACTCTCTAGAAGTCAAGACATCTTAGTACTGATTATGAAACACTGGATTGGCTGACTGTAGAGGAACTCTGGAATTGTTCTAGCCATCGATTCTTCTAATTACTTTTCCTCTGCCATATCACTCTCTTAAGTATAATTTTTCTAGGTTGCATCTAGCTACTGGTACTTGGATGATCAATTTGACAAACAATTCAGCTAGATTTCTGCAATATCATTGATGTCTTCCAAATACTGCATATAAACTAGCAAGAAAGATGTGTGTTTCAACTTTTTTTTAACCTAACCACTGATTGTATCATTGATGCTTACAATACTAATACTTCTTATGTCAATCCAGCATGGATAATATTCTTGTAGATGCTCAGCAGACCCAGGTGGCAAATCAGGAACTGCTAGTTCATCGTGTTTCATTAGTTCTTTGCCCTCAATAGGCTTATTTGATTCTTGGAAAAATGCCCAGTCTTAGTTTTCCAACATAATCTGTCCCCTGGGTCGTAACCTGCCCTCTCTTAAGAATATTTTTCCCCCCATTGAATAGATCAGAGGTTCAGTTCATCAGCTGTTTCATGAATTTGATCGTTCATTGAACCTGAATGTTTATTATATGAAAATAATTGAATACTTTATAGCATTTATTAAATTTAATAGAATTTTAATAGTTCTATGAACAATAACAACAGTATAGACAATTCAAGGCCACTGTCTCGGGTGGCTGGTCATCCAACCCTGGGTAATGTGTCATGTGGCTAGCCACTTTATTCAGGACTAGGCACTGGCATGGAGCTCTATAGAAACCCCCAAAAATTGACCCCAATTGGGTCTCCATTTATCCATCACTTATTGACTCACAACTATTTACTGATCCGTAACTTTTTATCCACTCCTTAGATAATCCCATTGATTTTTGAGGATCAGTATTGACTACTTTGGGAAAACCTGGAATAGAGATCCTTCCCATGCCTTCCACCATTCCGTTTTAAAGTAAATCAGTATCTACAATGCTAAGAGAACCATGCTTCTCCTCTCCCTTTTGCTGTTGAAGGAAACCTATATTGGTTCTTCTTGCAGGGCCCTCAGAGGCTTCATCCTGAACTGAAACTGCTGGGGTCGACAGCACTTTTCTCATCCTTATTTAAAGATGTGTTTAAAGTAGCATGAAAGCTTTCCTCCCAAGTTGTGCAAGAAAACTGCATTTATTGAATCTGGATGGCTTGATGTATCCCATATGTTTTACTACTGGTTTTTCAATTCCTTTTGTCTCTAGTCTCACAGAAGCGTAACAAGATTCATAAAAGCATACATTCTATACTACTTCCTTTAGTTCAGATACACCTCTTCTGTTACAGTATGTTATCCCATCTGATTAATGTATAAACCTTTGAAGTTTTAACCAATTATGTTCAGTTCTTCTTTTTTAAGGCTGCATTTCTGATAGGCATTACTTCTAGAGGCAATCATTTCTGTACATTGAGCAATCTTTTCTTAGTTTCAATTTTGTATGGGTAAAATATCCCTTCAAACAGATACATTTCTCCAAAGTTTCATTTGAATAACCTTTGGTTTGCCATTGTTCTTTCTGAATCCATTCTTGGATGTAGATATGCTTTAGTTTTTCCATGGATTAAACTGAAGCTTTGTACAAATCTGAAAGGCCTTTTTTGTATTATTTTTTGTTCGCAGAATGGCTTACAATTTTTTTTTTAAACTTTTGCTAGATGACTTTTTTTTTTTTTTTAATTTGATTTATATGCCGCCCTTCTCTGAAGACTCAGGGCGGCTTACAATGTGCTCAGCAAATGGACTTGACAGACCATATGACTTTATCTTGCAATGTCTGCAACTTCCAAGAGGGGCTGCTTGGTTTCTTCTACATCACTATTTTGCAGTGTTTCTGTATCAGTTCTTTGCATGACAGCCATTCAGTCTCATTGATCTATGTGCATTAAGCATGTAACCTTTTTTTCATGATTGGTA